CTCCCCCACAGCCCCGTCCCTCTCCCCCACAGCCCCGTCCCTCTCCCCCACAGCCCCGTCCCTCTCCCCCACAGGCCAGTCCCTCTCCCTCACAGCCCCGTCCCTCTCCCCCACAGCTCTGACCCCTGATGCATCTGACCTGGTCCTGCTGATTGAACACTGAGGAATAGCAGTGACTGGAAAGGCTGTCTGTATAATTGGCAGTTTGTCACCAGGACCATTTGTCAGTCTATCCAGTATTTTCAGATCCTTTGGAAACATCTCTCCCCTAATCAAGGAGAGTATTTCTTCAGCATCTTAACTCAGTGTCCTGCCTGTGTGGTGGGGGGATCTCCTGATTGGTCCTGAACTGGGCTCACACCTTCCTGCAGGAAACTTCTTTATGTTCACTATCTCCCCCTTCTCAAAGTCTCTCTTTTCACCTACTATTTCTTTTCTTGCTTCTGTGCTGTATTATCAGGAGGGTATGGGGAGTGAGATGGAGAGTGGGATTGAGTGGACGGGGAGAGGATATTATCAGGAAGGCATGGGAAGTGAGCAAGAGGAAGGGATTAGCTGGAATGTTATTACGTGAATGGGCCGTTCTTGTGTCAGAACTTGCTGCGTTTCTCAGGATTAATCAGGTCTTGTCCTTACAGGACCGTTGGAAGGAATGCCTTGATGCGTTGGACCGCTATTTTCAGGGAATTGTGGGAGACACCCTTTTATCTGCTGCTAGCATCACGTACTATGGTCCATTCACTGCAGACTACAGGAAGAAGCTGATGGAGGAATGGAAAACTTTCCTAACCGAAAATCACATCCCAATGTCACCTGACTACTCCCTAATCCCAGCAACAACAGAAAAAAATGAGGTAAAGAATAACAAACACTGTCACAGCCTTACATACAAATCCTTTCCTTCATCAGAGCAGCCAATGGGTGAGCAGCTGGGAAGGATAATGGCGAACATTTGGAGGGAGATTCACAAACTCGGGAACAGTGGGGGACATCAGGAGAGAACAGACGCAGCTGGGAAATAGTATGGAAACTTGGGATTCCGTGGAGATGTTGGAAGAGAATATAAGATGTCAGGAGACAGTCGTAGACACAGTAAAATCCTGGTTTACAATTGACTCATTTAACAGTTATTTACAATTTATATCAATGACTTGGTTGAGGGAAGTGAATGTACTCTTGTCAAGTTTACAATGACTCAAAAATAGAAAGGCAAGTCGCACGGGTGATCCAGAGTCTGCAGAGGGATATGGACAGGTTAAGTGACTGGGCAAGTGGAATCTAATGTGGGGAAATGTGCGGTTATGCAATCCGTCAGGAACAACAGAGGAGCTGAATATTATTTAAGTGGGAAAGACCGCAGAAGCTACAGAACAGAGGGATTTGGGAGTCTTTGTTCATGAGTCACAAAAAGCTTGCATCCAGGTTGAGTGAGTAATAGGGAAGGCAAATGGCATATTGGCCTGTTGTTCAAAAGGAATAGAGAACAAAAGTAAGGAGGCTTTGGTAAAATTACACAAGGCACATTGCTGGGATACCATGAACAGTTTTGTTCCCCTTTTATCTAAGGAGAGGTATATTAGGATTGGAGGCAGTCCCAGAGAAGGTTCACTCGATTGGGACCAGATATGGAGGACTTCTTCTGAGGAGAGGTTGACTAGGTTGAAAGAGTACTTTTTGGAGTTTAGAAGAATGAATGGACACCTTTTGAAACATACAAGATTCTTAGGGGTTTGACAAGATTGAACCAGAGAAATTGTTTGCCCAGTATAATCTCAGAATAATGGGGTCACATATTTCAGAGATCAGGAGGAATTTCTTCTTTGGTAATATAGGTAATATATCTGTGGAGGCATCCTTAGAAGAGTTCCGGAGGGAGGAGGGTAACTTCTTCAGGGTAGGCAAAATATATCTGTGGAGTTCTTTCCTGCAGAGGGATGTTGATTCATTCTCTCTCTCTCTCTCACAAACACACACGTTCTCACTATCTCACTCGCACACACATTCTCACACACACACACGCACACACACATTCTCACACGCATACACACATTCTCACTCACACACACACACATTCTCACTCACACACACACACATTCTCACTCACACACACACACACACACACACGCGTTCTCACACACACACACAGACACACACACTCACATATACACACACTCATACACACGCACATTCTCCTTTCCACAACTATCATTAACGCCTACGTTGTATCTCAATCCCTCCCTTGCCGCAATAGTACTACCTTTGCCTTGTTCCTCTGGAGCATCCTCACCGTCTGTTCCAATTGCTCCACTTTAACAACAGCAGAAAAAACACCATTTCTCGACTCCCTCCTGTTCTAAAGCAGTCTTGTTGAAATGTTAACTGTTTCTCTCTCCACAGATGCTGCTTATCATGCTGAGTTTCTCCAATAATCACTGTCCTTATTTCATCATATCCTCCCTCCTCTTGTATTCTATGCCCTATTTATGACATCTGGAATACTGCAGCTGACTTAATACCTGCATATGCCAAGGCAGACAAGGCTATGGGCCAATTGTTGGAAAATGGGATTACAATAGAGAGGTGGTCGTTTTTGAGCAGTGCAGAGTTGATGGGCTGAAGGGTCTCTTTCTGAGCTGTAGATCTCAATGATTCTGTGAGAGGTGACTCGAGGTTGGAAACATGGAGGAGTGAGAGATATTGGGAGGAACAGTGTGACAAATTGGGTTGGGAGTGAGTGAGTGAGTAAGCAAGACATACACAAATGGGATAGAAACCAGAAAGCAAATGGAGCAATGAATTTGGGAGCAAGTCAGCAATCATTTTTAATTGTATGATCTAGCATGCACACGTTCTTTAAATGTGTTACAATAATGTGATATATTTGGCCCTCAGGTTCGCATTTTGCAGAATAAGGGGCTGCCAGCTGATAATTATTCCACTGAGAATGCCATACTGGTGAAAATGAGTGAGAACTGGCCATTACTCATTGACCCACAGGGACAAGCAAGAAGTTGGATCACAAAGATGGAAGGGCAGGACCTGCACATTCTACTGGCAACAGACCCCAATTATACCAAAATAATGGAGAATGCTATTCGAATGGGATATCCAGTCCTACTGCATGTGGGTACTGACAATGAGACTGTTCTTAAAGTGTTTCTTGGGGGCAGTGCAGAAAGAGCTTTACTCTGTATCTAACCCTATGCTGTCTCTGTCCTGGGAGAATTTGATGGGGACACTGTTGGGAAGGTTTACTCTTATCTAACCCCGTGCTGTCCCTGTCCCGGGAGTGTTTGATGGGGGACAGCGTAGAGGGAGCTTTACTCTGTATCTAACCCCATGCTGTCCCTGTCCCAGGAGTGTTTGATGGGGATGGTGTAGAGCTCAACTGACCAGAATAAAGAACCTGAGGAAACATTTAAAATAAATGATGGTCTTTGTTTGCATCGTTTCTTGCAGGAATTAACAGAGCAGATCGATCCTGGTCTGAGGCCAATCTTAGTCCGAGAGATTTGTTTTCGAGAGGGGCAGGAGTACATCAAGATCGGGAACAAGGAAGTAGAATATAATTCCAACTTCAGGTAATACCAAATCCAGATTCAGGAAATCAAAACAGAAATTGCTAGCAAAACTCAACGGGTTTGGCACCATCCGTGCAGAGAAAGCAGCGTTCTTGTTTCAAGTCCAGTGACCCTTCTTCGTTTTCTCCAGCACTTTCTGTTTGTACTTCTGATTTCCAACAGCTGCAGGACTTTGTTTGTTTTTGAGCTGAGGATGAGTTTGTTCACTTGTTTGACAATGTAATTGCAGGTTGTGTATGACCACACGGATATCCAACCCAAACTTCCTGCCTGCCCTCTGTAACCTGGTGACCCTGATAAACTGCACAGTGACCTTTGAGGGTCTTCAGGAGCAGCTTCTGTCCCGGCTGGTGAAACGCCAGCATCCACAAGTGGAAGAACAACTGGGACAACTGCTGCAGAGCATTGCTAACGACCTGGTCACCCTGCGGGATTTGGAAAATAAGTCGCTGTCCTTGCTGCAGAAAACTGAGGGTAAGCACAGCTGGCTGTTGAAGGTGGCATCATTGACTTGCTGTTGATGTTACTACACAGAACAGTGTTGTTCATGTCATAGATTTTGTTCCCAGTGGACAGCAAGATGGAAAGAGCTGGTGACTTCCCCATTTGTTTGTGACTTTGTCACACTTAAATCAATCAATAGCTTCATAGAATCATTGGTAATCTTCAATTTGACTGTGGCAGTGACCAAACTGAATGCAAAAGGTTTGACTTCAGAGTAAATTGTCAAGTGATTTCTTTGTCTATCAGTTTAACATAGAGTCATGCAGCACTGAAATAGACCCTTCGGTCTAACTAGTCCACACTGACCATGTTCCCAAACTAATCTAGTCCCACCTGCCTGCACCTGGCCATATTCCTCCAAACCTTTCCTATTCATGAACTCATCCACATGTCTTTTAAATTTTAACTTTGAAGAACAGCTAACAAGATGAAGATAACAGTTGGTGGGGACCATTGTAACAAAGCATTCCAATTCCGTGGCCAAGTTGATTACAGCCTCGTTCTGCTTGAGGTGAAGAATGAAAGTGTTAGAAAGGGCAGGGGTTAACTGTCTGCAGCGAAAGGGTGGTGTCAGAATGGCATGTGGTCAGATCCACCATGGCTGAGATGGATTTTCTTTCCCTATCTTTCCACTTCTCACCTCAATCCTAATACATTTGGGACGTTGGCAGGAATTCTTCAAGAATCCTGTGACAGTTTCCAGTTTACACTATTATCACACAACATAGGTAGCTTCGCTGCACAGACCACTAGACACAACAGCTAGTAACAGCCTCGCAAACTCCAGTCCGTCACCCTCACAGTGTCCCTCATACACCAGTCTGTCACCCTGACAGCGTATTCACAGATAGGGTGAGGGTATGCGATATTGTATTCACAGTGAGGGTATGGGTGTGGGATACTGTATTCTCAGTGACGGTGTAGGACACTGTATTCACAGTGAGGGTATGAGTGTGGGATACTGTATTCTCAGTGAGGGTGAGGGTGTGGGATACTGTATTCACAGTGAGGGTGTGCGATACTGTATTCACAGTGACGCTGTAGGATATGATGTTCACAGTGAGGGTATAGGTGTGGGATACTGTATTGACAGTGAGGGGTGGGATACTGTATTCACAGTGAGGGTGTGGGTGTGGGATACTGTATTCACAGTGAGGGTGTGGG